GCGAGGTAGGTGGCCGCCTCTAACACGCCTATAACTGGGTGCAAGGTGGGTGGCCGACTCTAACACGCCTATAACTGGGTGCGAGGTGGGTGGCCGCCCCTAACACGCCTAAAACGGGGTTCGAGGTGGGTGGCCGCCCCTAACACGCCTATAACTGGGTGCGAGGTGGGTGGCCGACTCTAACACGCCTATAACTGGGTGCGAGGTAGGTGGCCGCCTCTAACACGCCTATAACTGGGTGCGAGGTAGGTGGCCGCCTCTAACACGCCTATAACTGGGTGCGAGGTGGGTGGCCGCCTCTAACACGCCTATAACTGGGTGCGAGGTAGGTGGCCGCCTCTAACACGCCTATAACTGGGTGCGAGGTAGGTGGCCGCCTCTAACACGCTTTAACTGGGTGCGAGGTGGGTGGCCGCCTCTAACACGCCTATAACTGGGTGCGAAGTGGGTGGCCGCCCCTAACACGCCTATAACTGGGTGCGAGGTAGGTGGCCGCCTATAACACGCCCGTGACTCATCATGCGTCTAATTAATTGGAATAATCAATCGATTTCAAGTGTTTCTTTAACTGTTCACTTATCAATTCTATTTGAAGTTACGGCAATATAAAGCGCTATTCATTTTTCTTAATCAAACCTGTATTTTTTGTTACTATTTCCAAGTTAAAGGCCTTCAGTGAATTTTTCTAAAGAATTATCCGTTTATTCGCACTTAATTCACAACTAAAGCGACTATAGTTTCGTTATCAAATTTAAAAATAACATATAATTGCGTAAGATCCCCAAATCTGTTTGTAGACCTGGCACCAGTTGCTCAGCAGACTGCAGAATAATGCGGCCAAACAACAGTTCTTTTATTTATTATTGTTCTCTTGTTCTCGCTGCCCAGAACTGCAGAACAACGTAACAGACCCGCTGGTCATGGTCGTGCTGGGCAACAAGCTGGACTTGCTGGACTCAGGCCCCCCGGAGTCTCGTCTGCAGAGAAAAATTTCGCGTCAAGTCGCCACGGAATTCGCCGCGCAGGTCGGCGCGGTGTTCTTCGAGGCCTCGGCGCTCACCAACGATGGTGGGGATACATTTGCATTATTGCAACTTTATGAAACTGTTTATATAATTATAAAACTGTTATATAATTTATAAACGAAGCTTGCAGCCAAGCAGGTCCCCTGATATACAAAAGTTATACTTTGGAATAAATTGAAACTTTATGAAAGTGTTGATAATTTACGAACGAAGCTTGCAGCCAAGCATGTCCCTAATATACAAAAATTATACTATGGAATTTAAAAGCAAAGAAAACAGTCAGAATATTAACCATTTCTTAAGAATGAAAACGTTTTGGAGTCCAGCTCCGATCGTCAGTTCAAAAGTTCAAAACCTATAAGAAAATAAGAATCAATTAGAAAACTAAATTCACATCGAAGTTAAAAACATAAATTGACAAAATAAAAACAAATACACATAAGGAGACAGGCCTATCTATTTACAATTTCAAGGGGATAGGAGCTGAAGGCTGCATTTAAACCAGGTTTCTGTTTAAAAATGTACAGGGATTCTAAAATCCGTAGGTCAGTAACACCGGTCGTGTAAGCTAGAACACTGAAATCACTATCAGACACCGAAACATTGCACTGCTCGGCATGGACGCGCACAGCTGAATGAGGAGGATGCGCAAGTAAAGTTCCCGTTCTAAAGCTTCTGCCCTTATGCTCCGCCAGCCTAGTGTAAAAATTGCGAGACGTCATACCGACGTACGCTGATGCGCACCGCGCACAACTGTATCTATATACTAGGGACGAACGCATAAAAAGAGGGAGAGCATCTTTATACTTGAAGAACGAACCGATTTTGAAGTTATTCACCAATATCACCTGCAGATTTACATTCGGAATATATTTATTGATCAAATCTTTCAATTCCCTAGCCATAGTCTCAGATGCTTTACCGAAGTAGGGAAAAGAACAACAAGTTTTCTAATTGATTCTTATTTTCTTATAGGTTTTGAACTTTTGAACTGACGATCGGAGCTGGACTCCAAAACGTTTTCATTCTTAAGAAATGGTTAATATTCTGGCTGTTTTCTTTGCTTTTAAATTCCTGGTAAATTTGCGACTTAAGCAATTTAGTAATTTTTATGCTTATACTTTGGAATATTGCAACTTTATGAAATTGTTGATAATTTATGAATGAAACTTGAAGCCAAGCATGTCCCTAATGTACAAAAATTATACTTTGGAATATTGCAACTTTATGAAACTGTTTATAATTTATGAACGAAGCTTGCAGTCAAGCATATCCCTAATATACAAAAGTTATAGTAAGCAAAAACGTATAATTCGTTAAAAGTCGAGGATTAAAAATGAAAATTGTGAAATTATCGTGCGCCGTTAACTTCTAAGTGCCTTCATACCTGTGTGGTAATTGAATTTAGTTAAACTGTGAAATCAAAACATCCTTCAGCATTAATGCCATATTTTTTATATCGTAATTTGATGTAGATTTGCTATATTTGGTCTAAAATTAATCCAAGTGCTGTTTTGCAAGAAATATGACAAAAAGATGTTGTTGCCTCCAACCTGTAGTTGTTGACGGTTCACCCACTACGATGTGGTTAACCCACCACATGGTTGACCCACTACATGGTTGACCCACTACATGGTTGACCCACTACGTGGTTGACCCACTACGTGGTGGACCCACTACGTGGTTGACCCACTACGTGGTTGACCCACTACGTGGTTGCCCCACTATGTGGTTGACCCACTACGTGGTTGGCCCACTACGTGGTTGCCCCACTACGTGGTTGACCCACTCCATGGTTGACCCACTACGTGGTTGACCCACTACATGGTTGACTCACTACGTGGTTGACCCTGTCTCTTATACACATCTAGATGTGTATAAGAGACAGACCACGTAGTGGGTCAAACACGGAGTGGGTCAACCACGTAGTGGGTCAACCACGTAGTGGGTCAACCACGGAGTGGGTCAACCACGTAGCGGGTCAACCACGGAGTGGGTCAACCACGTAGTGGGTCAACCACGTAGCGGGTCAACCACGTAGTGGGTCAACCACGTAGTGGGTCAACCACGTAGTGGGTCAACCACGTAGTGGGTCAACCATGTAGTGGGTCAACCATGTGGCTGTCTCTTATACACATCTAGATGTGTATAAGAGACAGCTACATGGTTGACCCACTAAATGGTTGACCCACTACATGGTTGACCCACTACGATGTTGACCCTGTCTCTTATACACATCTAGATGTGTATAAGAGACAGGTGGTTGACCCACTACGTGGTTGACCCACTACGTGGTTGACCCACTCCGTGGTTGACTCACTACGTGGTTGACCCACCACATGGTTGACCCACCACATGGTTGACCCACTACGTGGTTGACCCACTACATGGTTGACCCACTCCGTGATTGACCCACTAAATGGTTTACCCACTACATGGTTGACCCACTACGTGGTTGACCCACTACGTGGTTGACCCACTACGTTGTTGACCCACTACGTGGTTGACAAACTACGTGGTTGACCCACTACGTGGTTGACCCACTTTTGCCCCACTATGTGGTTGACCCACTACGTGTTTGACCCACTACATGGTTGACCCACTACGTGGTTGCCCCACTATGTGGTTGACCCACTACGTGGTTGGCCCACTACGTGGTTGCCCCACTACGTGGTTGACCCACTCCATGGTTGACCCACTACGTGGTTGACCCACTACATGGTTGCCCCACCACATGGTTGACCCACTACATGGTTGACCCACTACGTGGTTGACCCACTACGTGGTTGACCCACTACGTGGTTGACACACTACATGGTTGACTCACTACGTGGTTGACCCACTACATGGTTGCCCCATCACATGGTTGACCCACTACACGGTTGACCCACTACATGGTTGACCCACTACGTGGTTGAACCACTACATGGTTGACCCACTAAGTGGTTGACCCACTACGTGGTTGACCCACTACATGGTTGCCCCACTATGTGGTTGACCCACTACATGGTTGACCCACTACATGGTTGACCCACTCCGTGGTTGCGTGCAGGCGTGGACGCGGCGTTCGACCACATCGCGCTGGTGCTGGCGAAGGCGGCACGGGAGGCGCAGAAACATGGAGTGAGTTTCTGGCTTTTGCCTTCATTGAACTTTCTGTTCAATTAATGCATATTTCTAATTGTTTAATTAATTAATTGTTTCTATTTCTCTTCAATTAAATTATTTTTGAATATTATATATGTGAATATATTTTTCACTTTGAATGAGTCAATAACTTTTAAGTTTAGCACTCGTATTTTAATGGTATTTCAATGACACCGAAGTTATCAGTTCCAATTGCGTTCTGTTCATTATAAAATTAATAGTAAACTCTAAATATTTTCAGAAAACTGCGCCTGTTAAAACATCGATAGTCGTGAGTGGGCAGCCGGCGCCCAGCAGGTCGTGTTGCTGACGCAGCAACTGCTGCTCTCTTATCAACTACCGCGACATGAACAAAACAATAACTATTCTATAACATAAACAACTGAAAAGCAATAAATAACATGATCACTGATGCAGGTAACAAAAGTAGAGTTACTGCCCCAGTAACAAGTGAAGCGTTACGTGTTATTACACCATGGTCGTTATTCGGTAGGGTTTGAATGGTAGTTTTCTTATTGGTTGAATTTATCAACGCAAATAAGTAACAAACTATGCATTAGTAGTTTAAGATTAATATATATATATAATGATCATAAGCAATAATTATACTAGCAATGATTATATATGAATAATGTATGCGATTTTCACACCAAATAAAGTGGATGAGATACGCGCTATTTCAATTAAATTAGTAATAATAATAGTGATGTAAGCCTTTTATTAGACCATTGGACCTGTCGCTGATTCTGAACTTCACAGAATTTTCGCAGCTTGTTGCGGTCGAACATGCAACTCACTGCTCCTATTTGGCTGTGCCTTACCGTCCGGCCTCGTTGCAAACTTTAAAATACTCAAGTGAACTTGTGATTAGAAAATTGAGTTTCAAGGTGATTTTTTTTTCAATCTAGTAATCATATTTATTGCTTTATATAAATTGAAGCAAAGGGCTGTTTTTTTCTTGATTTTATTTTCATCCGTCACGACCAAGGAAAATTCCCCAACCCAAGGCATCCTTCGATATGTCTCACATGTCAAACAAGAAAACGATAATTTCTTTTCATTTTTTTAAACTAACAAGAAGGATTTGGCTGAACCTCTCGGTTGTTGTTCGTCAACGTGATCCTGGTGCGGCAGGATTCAGTGACAGAAGGAATGTTTCGGTGAGTGGTTAACTCGGCAACCATTACGAATGGTTTATTGATGCACTATACTGTATATAGTGACTATACCATCTACCAAACGCTGGTGGTGTTGCTTTGTATAAGTAATCCCTGGGATGCGAGAATCCCGTTATAAATGCCTAATTCAGCTGCTCATTTTTAAAACAATGTAATATTAATTTAAAATATACATATACATATACATGTACATGTATATTTTAAATTAATATTACTTTGTTTTAAAAATATACATGTACATGTATATTTTTAAAACAATGTAATATTAATTTAAAATATACATGTACATTCTTGAATGAAATTCAAGGCCAATTTGCGTTAATTGGGAGCATTACTGACAGTTACAGTATCTATCTATGTCCAGGTAGAGGTGTTAGTATTATGTCATGTATGACAGTATATTTCACATATTAATTCATATAAAATATTAAATATATTACAGTTAAATATTTACCGAGGAATCAATTATATTTCAAAATTGTATTCAACATATTTGATCCCAAATTCTATTGTAAAGTTATTGTTACTGGCAGGATGCCTCACATTTTTTATATACAGTCTCAGTAAACTCTAAAAATGTTGTTCTAGTCTAGATAATAAATAAGTTTTCATACATTTTAGAATTTATTTTCTGTCTTTAGATACGAGGTCAAATAGATAGTGAACGTCGGTAGACAAATGGTTAAGAACTGAAGACTTTAACTTTCATGCAGGAGAGATATTATTGCGTCCCAATCCACTGTGAATTTACAAAGGTGATGTTAATTAACCATCATAGTTTCACCACCATTTTAACCACCCATCATCGTTTCACCACCATTTTAACTAACCATCAACATGTCACCACCATTTTAACCAACCATCAACATGTCACCACCATTTTAACCAACCATCAACATGTCACCACCATTTCTCGAACAAAATTTGATCTTCCGGGACGCCAAATTCGGCCAACATTTCCGTGACGTCACGTATCATCGCTGGAGGGCCGCACACGAACGCCCGCACGGTCCTGTAGGGGGACAGGGGCGCCGCCCCCCTCCCCATGTCTGGGGGAGGGTTGTCCCCAGGGGCGCCGTAGGGGGGCGGCGGGGGCGCCGCGGGAGTTGGGCGCCCGCGGGTGAGGTGGTCAAGAGCTGCCAAGAGGTCGGCCCTGGCAATGCGGCCTCCTGTTAACAATAAGAAAAAGAGGCGTTCAGTAATATTACCAAGCATTATTACTTAATCAGAATATTAGGAAAATCTAAAAATGGTTCCCTGAACATGATATTCATGATTTATATATTGTGTAATTATTCTCCTCCAGAGGAGTTATATGAACCAGGCATGCATTACCTGTGTTTGGTTACGCAACTGAGGACGTGTCAACTGAGGACGTGTCAACTGGGGACGTGTCAACTGAGGACGTGTCAACTGGGGACGTGTTAACTGGGGACGTGTCAACTGAGGAAGTGTCAACTGAGGACGTGTCAACTGAGGACGTGTCAACTGGGGACGTGTCAACTGGTGACGTGTCAACTGGGGACGTGTCAACTGGGGACGTGTCAACTGAGGACGTGTAAACTGGGGACATGTCAACTGGGGACGTGTCAACTGTGTACGTGTTCACGCCCGGAAATGGACATGAGGCTTAATTAAACATGCGCTAATCCCCGTCTCAGGGGGCACGTAACCGGCGCTTAGCTCGTCGTCTAAATGAAAGGATGCGCTGAAGCCATTGTGACGTCACCAACAAACAAACATGAAATCGTAAATCAGAACGAACCAAACGAAGACTAAATTATTTATTTGTATGACGGAGCACAACTGAGGGTCGGATAGGGGATGCACAAGCATAGCACACAACTGACGTTTGTGCTACAGTACACAATTGAATATGAAACAAAAGTGATTATTAGAATATGGATTATAAAATTACAGCGTTAAGGTGCTTCTACACGGGGCGATTAGTTGCGTCTACTAGACGACGCAACTAAAATTTGTGATGCTTGGCGTGTTCAGAGGCAACTAGCTGGTTCATTGCAGGCAGAGCAACTCGAGTTGTTTTGAAGCAGTCTATTGCGCTCAGTAGCCGCCCGGCCGTCATACCGAGAACAGCTGCGTCGCTCTCTCTCTTGCCTACTGTAGCGCGCACTGCTGTCGTGCTCTCACTTGGCTTCACCGTGCACAACCTTACTCGACGGCTCACAACGTCGCACTGGCGCACTGTCCTGAAAACACACTCCTCGTGTATAGGCTCTCAGCCTGCAAAACTGTAGTAGACGAAACTAATCGCCCCGTGGATAAGAGCTTAAATTTGTGTGTTTGCACCAACGGACGTTTGTGCGGGAGTGGTGACAGGCTGGGGTCGGGAGGGTCGCGTGTGGTGAAGAACATTACTTGCAGGCTGGGGGACTGGCGGCACAAGTCCTCGAGCAGCCCCTGGGGTGGTGGTAATAAGGGGTGATAATAACGGGTGTTAATAACGGGTGATAATAACGGGTGATAATAACGGGGATATTTGATCTTGATTGTGCGAGTTTTGCCACTTAGGATTTTTTTTCGAAAATTTAAGCTAAATATTTTTATTTAAACAAATTTTATTTAATGAGATTCAGTCGCAGATTTCATGTTGACATTTGAACAGAAATTTGTTTTTGAATTAAGCAATGGGAAGTGTAATGCGTCGTAGTGCATAATAATCTTATTTCATTACTAATTATTTTCGATGAGAAAGTTAAAGGATATGATACGATTAAGAATATGATATAAGATTTGATACGATGAAAGATATGATATGATGAAGGATTTGACATGATGAAGTATATGATATGATGAAGGATATGACATGATGAAGGATATGACATGATGAAGGATATGACATAATGAAGGATATGACATGATGAAGGATATGATATGATGAAGGATATGATATGATGAAGGATATGACATGATGAAGGATATGACATGATGAAGGATATGACATGATGAAGGATATGACATGATGAAGGATATGANAGGAAAATAGCAAGGAAAATAGCAAAGAAAATAGCGAGGAAAATAGCAAGGAAAATAGCAAAGAAAATAGCGAGGAAAATAGCAAGGAAAATAGCAAAGAAAATAGCGAGGAAAATAGCAAGGAAAATAGCAAAGAAAATAGCGAGGAAAATAGCAAGGAAAATAGCAAAGAAAATAGCGAGGAAAATAGCAAGGAAAATAGCAAAGAAAATAGCGAGGAAAATAGCAAGGAAAATAGCAAAGAAAATAGCGAGGAAAATAGCAAGGAAAATAGCAAAGAAAATAGCGAGGAAAATAGCAAGGAAAATAGCAAAGAAAATAGCGAGGAAAATAGCAAGGAAAATAGCAAAGAAAATAGCGAGGAAAATAGCAAGGAAAATAGCAAAGAAAATAGCGAGGAAAATAGCAAGGAAAATAGCAAAGAAAATAGCGAGGAAAATAGCAAGGAAAATAGCAAAGAAAATAGCGAGGAAAATAGCAAGGAAAATAGCAAAGAAAATAGCGAGGAAAATAGCAAGGAAAATAGCAAAGAAAATAGCGAGGAAAATAGCAAGGAAAATAGCAAAGAAAATAGCGAGGAAAATAGCAAGGAAAATAGCAAAGAAAATAGCGAGGAAAATAGCAAGGAAAATAGCAAAGAAAATAGCGAGGAAAATAGCAAGGAAAATAGCAAAGAAAATAGCGAGGAAAATAGCAAGGAAAATAGCAAAGAAAATAGCGAGGAAAATAGCAAGGAAAATAGCAAAGAAAATAGCGAGGAAAATAGCAAGGAAAATAGCAAAGAAAATAGCGAGGAAAATAGCAAGGAAAATAGCAAGGAAAATAGCGAGGAAAATAGCAAGGAAAATAGCATGGAAAACAGTCAGGAAAATAGCAAGGAAAATAACAATGAAAATAGCAACGAAAACAGCAAGGAAAATAACTGGGAAATTCAAAATGTTCTCTATGAATACGTCTCGGGAGGCCAGCACCATCGTGGGCATAGAAATTCAAGTGAAAGTGTAACGAATTCGTGCAAATTCATAAGATGGACATAAGAACCTAAATTATTAAAGAAGAGGCAAAGTAGCAAAAGAAAAAAACATATTTGTTCCTTTGTATCATCTTCATATATTTGTAAAGCAATTTTTCATATTTATATTGTGAATAATAAATCTTATAATTGAGTCGTCCTCCATGATAATACTTTTCAATTATTTATTTGATTAATATACTCATGATGCAGCCAGTCTCCAAACCGTTTCAATGTAAGCTAAGGTTGATAAATAGACAACTGGGGACGTGTCAACTGGGGACGTGTCAACTGGTGACGTGTCAACTGGGGACTGTCAACTGGGGACGTGTCAACTGGGGACGTGTCAACTGGCGACGTGTCAACTGGGGACGTGTCAACTGGGGACGTGTCAACTGATGACATAACTGAGACATAACTGGAGACATAACTGGGTAAGCAACTGGCCTGCTGATGGAACCAGTTAGCGGGCGGCCAGTTGGAGCGTTGGATGCCGAGCGTGACGTGACCGTCCCCAGCAAACTGGTGGGGGGCGCAGCACAGGGAGAAGCCCCCCACCACGTCCACCCCGGGGATGTGCACGTCCACCCTGGGCAGCTTTAGGATAATTACCCTGTAGATATTACCTCTATAAGCTGCTAAATGACCACTGCAACGGGATATTTTTTTCATTCTCTAACACTTTAAAGTCTATGAGCCTCCTACACTTTAAACGACGCCTGCAAATGTTGCCCCCAAGCATCAAAATATTACCATCAACAAAGCCAGCGGAAGTGGGTAAAAAACCCACCGGAAACGGGTAAAAAACCCACCGGAAATGGGTAAAAAACTAACCGGAAGTGGGTAAAAAAAACCACCCGAAGTGGGTAAAAAACTCACCGAAAGTGAGTAAAAATCCCACCGAAAGTGGGTAAAAAAAACACTGAAAGTGGGTAAAAGACTCACCACTGGCCAGCCTTGAAGCGGAAAAGTGGGTCGCCCACCGCGACGCTGCAGCCCACCACGGACGGCGACTCCTGCCAGACGCGCGTCACGGCGCCCGCAGCGAGCACCGCCGCCCGCGCCACGCCAGCGGTCAACCGCAGGTGCTTGTTGTCGTACTTCTCCGTGTTGTTTTTGTCATGGTTTTCGTCGCACTTATTGCTTTTATCGGGATTTTTATCGTAGTTGTGGTTGTTCTTCTTGTTGTTTTTGTCGTGGTTTTCACCGCACTCGTGTCTCTTATCGTTGTTATTGTTCCCCACATTTTTGTGGCTGATTTCACTGGCGAAATGAGGCGATGTATCTGGGGAAAGGGGGACAGTGTAGAAATAGTGAGATAAATGTGCGGTGGTGTAGAGGTACCTATAGTAACACGTGAGGAAACTGGCAATTAAAATTGAAACCAGTCCTGACACCTGAAAGGTCTTAGTATTTTCGGCATTAAATAAATAGGCCTGGATAGGCCTGACAACATCTTGACTGACAACATCTTTACATATGCTTTATATGCAATAAAGCACCATTAATTCTGTCTGTACCGAGAAGAAATCAATTAAGTTATATGTGGTTACATCAAATGTATTGTTCTCTGTCATTAAGTTACAAAACCCTGGTGCTGCTTCTAAGTCAATATTATCCAGAAGTATCAGCACTGAAGATTAACTCAAGCCAGGCCTGTCGATTATAGTAAAATCGATTCTGTTGCTGATTTTATCAAGGCTAGCTGGGTCTCGATCCAGCAAAACACAATTCCTAGCCAATAAAAAATGATACGATTTCTTTTTTTTCAATCAAGCGAAAATATAACTCAACATATTTGCGATTACTCTGTATTCAAGCACACATCACTCACGGAGATCTCGTGGTGGTGAAGACATCATCGGACGCGATGAGCTGAAAGGAAACATTTGGATTAGATCCACCAAAAGACCGATCTGTTCGTTAGCAGAAGTGGTGATCTCAGTATAATTATTGTTGCTATCATGCCTAGATCTTTTGTAATGATGTCGTTAATAAAGGAAATTACGCGGGCTTAACGATCACATAACAAATGATTATTGAATGCCTCGTCACTGAGGCTGATCAATGGTCGTTAAGAAATAAACATATTACAGTATAGGCATGCAATCAGATGTTACTCCAATGATCCATCTGCACGCCGTGTACGATGATAAGGATGCTCTAAATGCACACTTCTTCCGATAATAATGCTTCACCGTTTGCACATTTCATACGATCATAAACATGCACCATGTGTACGCTAAATATATACAGTTGTATACTAGGCCGGAGAACTTTTTTTGAACTAGCTAAATTGAGGTTCGGTAACCAGTTAGATAGAAGTTCAAGAAAATGACTAGCGTTATAGCGTCCCATAGCACTTACTTCAATAATACTTCACGGACTCTAGGGATGCCTGGTGCTGAGACGAGGCCACCATAACATCGTGCAAACGTCGCAGGATTGCACCACACCGCACGTGTTGTGAACATGTCCACGACACGAACTGAATGAGTTATGAAAGCGTAACTATTTTTGAAAGTGCGTCTTCAGGTTATAAATTGATGTTCGGTGTCGACGCCATAACCAAGTTTTACAGACTGGCAAAAGAACTTCGCATGTTTAAGGATTTACTTCACCTACCTCAACAGATTATGAGTTTGTCGAGGTCGTATTTGCATGCACCGACCAAAAGCTTATGAGAGACGTTGAGAAATATTTCGATCCATTTTCTGTTATAGTGCTCCAAGTTTCAATTACACTTTTTGTGAAGGGAGCGCAGCCATAGGCCACAAATTTTACTCTTAAATAAGCCCTTGAGCCACCGCCCAGCTTTATCATGCATTAACTTAACTCAGCCTCAGAGCTAGAAGCCGCAGACTACGCTTGAACTCCGTAATCCAGACAAGCGATGCACTGCCGAAAGATAATAGCGCCGTAGGTCTTCTGCCAATGCTTTAAGCATGTTCGCTCATAAGCAGGCAGTTCCTCATCAGGCTGTACCTACTCCGGCCTAACCTCTTCTGGCCTAACCTATTCACGCTGTCCCGGCTCACAACCTTCTTGCAGCCAATGAGTGGCGCTACCAGCACATTTGGACCGCCTTTCTAACTTCCTGCAGCCAATGAGGTTAGGTTAGGTCCGTTCAGGTTTGTTTTGGGTGGAGAAATGTGGCAACTTGTGTAGGCTAGGCCTGAAGAGGTTAGGCGGGAAGAGGTTTGGCCAGATGCAGTATGGCCATGTTTACTTTTAGCAAGTTGTTTTGTGGATGTGGACATCCGGCGCTACGGCTTTGAGCACTTGACTTCATGGGCTGTTATGCACTCTAGCATTCTTACCTACGGAAGAAAGTATGGACTAACTGTGAAGTTTGGTAATGCTGGCCTTCGGCATGCGCCCCTTTGTGATGACTCTGAAGTAAGACACAAATTCAATATTCAGCTGGGCGCGTGCGCGTTGTCGCAACCCTCGCACTGGATAAATTATCAAATTTGCCCACGTAATCAAGGCAACGCATAACGGTTGAATATTAACCCCTAACCCTCCCTCTCCCAAGGGATCCAAAAGGAATTTAAACGCGCCTCTGGGTCTTATAAAATCCAATGGAAATTTCCCGCGGTCGGATTTGCTGGCAATAGCAGCGGCTTATGAATCACAAATCAAGGCACGGATGGGATAATGGTATTTAGTTTGGCCCAGGCAATACTGTAATAAAAACGAATGGAAAAAAAGAAAAAAATTAAATAACCGGTGTCAGCGGGCTTGACGAGGTACGAGTGCGCCATTTGATTATTAACAAAATTCAATGTTGGTTTTGATATTAATTTCAGATCCAAGATTAAAGCATAACGCTAGGCTCATGTGGTGACGTCACTCTAGATGGTAACACGCGACTAATGTGGTCGCTTGAAGAAAATCTTGCCCGAGACAAGAAATTTGATATTTATTTTTGAGATAAAGAACGAGCGGAAGAGAGATGGCCGCGCGTGGTCGCCTATATAAGGAGTGCTGGGGGCCCAGGGAGAGCAGTCGTCCCTCGGGCGTTGACGGGGCAACGTCCCCCCCTGAGGCTCAATGTTTTACTTGACCCCTGACCTCTAGCGCTGCAATCATAGGGGAAACAAAAGCGGTTGAGTTCGTCGATTTTACTGTAGAAGGAAGGGGGCGCCCACGCCCCCCCCCCTCCACCGCCTGCTCCTACTGAGTATTATGGACGAAACATCGGCGGCCAAACGCCGCATTATAGGCGTATTAAAGGAGGCCACCTGCCACTATAAGCACCGTCCATCATTCGAATGCAATATATACATACAAGCGCACCATCAGCAATACAATAGACGAATAGTCTAATAAATAGAGAACAATAAACCTCGTAGAACTCATATACAATAACTGGACTGCGCGACCATTAGACCATTAGTTGCTACCTCGCACCATTATTAACTCAAGATAAGGCCTTATATCAACTAATGGAAAACCATTGATTCAATAACACATCTGCTTAATATACATCGCCAAAATGTGAAGATCTTTCATATTTATTATCGGTCGATTTACATAAATACGATATATTTAATGCAGGGTCCTTCATTAAACAATTATAATGGAAAATAATGTTGTTTTTTTCGAAACTTCTTTACAGTTTAGTTCCTAGAGCTGCCTTATGATGTGTAGTTGCAGGGACAAGGGGAGTTAAATTCTCCCCAAAGGAGAATTTTTTTTGGAAATTCCAAGCCTTGATGACTCTAAAATTGTTCTAATAATAAGACAGCAAAAGAGAATAAATTGAAAAAAAAAAATTAGGAATAAAAATATCATTCTTTTTAATCAAACATGTATAATTTTTATTTCATCACACATGTACAATGTATGTTTCATCACACATGTATAATGTATGTCATCACACATGTATAATGTATGTTTCATCACACATGTATAATGTATGTTCCATCACACATGTATAATGTATGTCCCATCACACATGTATAATGTATGTTCCATCACACATGTATAATGCATGTCATCACACGTGTATAATGTATGTCATCACACATGTATATGTACACATGTACACCATCAAAAGTACAGAACGTAACCCAACATCAGAACAGAACATTGGCCTCTGCACTGCAGGAGGGACAGTCTACACAGCATCTACACAGCATCTACACACTGACTGTGCACTGCATCATACACTGCAATGAACCTTGCACTGCACAGAACACAGCACCGTGCACTGCACAGCACCATACACTGCACAACACACAACACACAGCACCATACACTTCAGAGCTCCTTACACTGCACAGCATACAACACACAGCACCATACACTGCACAGCATACAACACACAGCACCATACACTGCACAGCATACAACACACACCACCATACACTGCACAGCACACAACACACAGCACCATACACTGCACAGCATACAACACACACCACCATACACTGCACAGCACACAACACACACCACCATACACTGCACAGCACACAACACAACCCACCATACACTGCACAGCACACAACACACACCACCATACACTGCACAGCACACAACACACAGCACCATACACTGCACAGCACACAGCCTCATTACACTATCATGTATTCAATTATGTTATCAAGATCATGTATATTATAACAATATTGTTATCTCGATACACGACTTCATGAACGTGTTATAAAAACACCAAGAGAACACCTTTGGTACGTAATAATAATTTATAGTTACCATGACAATATTATGATGATCATTAACAATACAAGCTACTGTCACCCGCGAACCTCTATTTAACTCCACATTTTATTGTGCGAACAAAAATACAAATCAAAATTTCTACAGATAAATCAGAAGTTTCTTTTGACCGACAACCGGACAAGTTTTACCGTGATTATTGGCTTAAATGCTAGGGAGATTAAACCTACTTCAATAAATATTCGAAATGCATTATATCTTATAAGGACAATATCATGAGACATGAATCTTAATCATCTATAGAGATTTTTCCATAATTAAGATCATTAGGAATATCATTTTCTGTTGAATACCGACAGAAATAACAGATCTGTTCCTTCCTTAAACAACGGTGTCCTATTAATGCCATAGATAAAGCAATGCAAATAGAACAACATAAAATAAAACAACACCTCGACGCGTTATATAAAAACTTAACAAATGCATCCACGTTCACATTGACGCGAGGCAAATATTGCACAACATAATATTCAGGGTTTAGGGATTCATACATGAATAAATGACATACGTGGATAAATGACATACATTGTGCGACCGATTCATTTTCATGTTTTAAATTCAGTTTTGATTCCAAGACAAAATTAATTCATCGGATTTTCGCTCATGGAAGTCACTGTGTGGTAGAGCATTGAAATGCATGCGGACGTTATACGCGACGTTATACGCAGGGATAGGGTTACGCGACGTTATATGCAGGGGTAGGGTTATGTAGGGTTACGCAACGTTATACGCAGGTATAGGGTTATGTAGGGTTACGCGACGTTATATGCCGGTGTAGGGTTATGTTGGGTTACACGACGTTATACGCAGGCGTAGGGTTATGTAGGGTTACGCGACGTTATACGCAGGAGTAGGGTTATGTAGGGTTACACGACGTTATACGCAGGTGTAGGGTTATGTAGGGTTACGCGACGTTATACGCAGGTGTAGGGTTATGTAGGGTTACGCGACGTTATACGCAGGCGTAGGGTTATGTAGGGTTCCAATAGACATGAAGTACATAAGAATATAAAGTTCAGTTATATGCAGGTGGCGAGCGGCGAGCTACTGACGGAGGAAGGGTGAGTCGTCACGCGGCTCGTGGCAAGGTTCACGCTCGTCGTCAGGGACGTGGGGGGCCTAGCGCCCCCCTGGGACAGGGACGTGGTGAGCCTGGTGCTCTCCTGAGGTGGGGACGTGGAGGGGAGCCTGTTATTCCCCACTGGGGGTGAATGAGATGTGGTTCGCTTCCTCACCTTTTGAGGTTCAGAGACTCGTACGTCGTTCTCTTCGGTGTTAAAGTCTGTGTGGGGGACGTGAGGGTGGACATCCTGGGCATCAGGAGTCTGGGGGCAGGGTGAGGAAGGGGTGTAAGGGGGTGACGGGCTGGAAGAGGAAGAAGGGCTGGAAGGGGAAGAAGGAGAATGTGAGGAGGGAGTAAGTTCATCTGATGGTAACGCACGTATTCTCGAGTCTGACGAAGCGAGTGCGCGCTGCGGTTTCTCTTCCATTGTGTGACGAGGATGATCAGAAAAATTAACAGATGCCCCGACAACAGGAACAGATGCCCCGACAACAGGAACAGATGCCCCGACAAAAGGAACAGGTCCTTCGGCAACAGGACCAGAAGATCCGACAACCCTGTTGCCGAGCGAGGCACATTTTCCTACAGTTTCATGTGTTCCAACGCCTATATTTCTTCTGTTATTAGAATTATCATCTTTACCTAAACTTAAACTACAGACCACTTCCCTAGTATCAACAGGAGAACAGCCTCTATTGTGAACAGGACTTGTGCTACTAGAACAAAGGTCCTTATTGAGACGAGTACTAGTGGTATCATCGCTGCTAGTCCCACTAGGACAACTAGAACAAAGGTCCTTATTGAGACGAGTCCCCCACCGCCACCACCACCGCCACCGCCACCACCTCCGCCACCCCCCACCGTCCCTATGGTGGAGCGTTGGCTGCCGAGACTCACGAGGGTGGATGCGATGGCCAGGCCACCTGGGGGGACCAACATCAATTAGGAAAGATGTTTACTTTTTTCGAATAAATCTACAATTTTCTATAGATTCAGGTAAGATTTTAACGTTAACATGCTAACCAGGTAACTTTTACCTTGTAAATCGACAATTACTGCGAGAAAGAATTTTCCGCAGCAATGTTATTTAAATTTCGACATAGACACTTTTAATTACAAGAGTTACACTCATGAACGCTCTTGACCAAACGAGCTTAACCCTCGACCGCCGTATGTCACTCTCCTGGAACATAATTTTGAAATCAAATTATACGTAAACTATTGAGTAGAGCAACCTGAAGACGTTTGTACGCAACAGAGAACATTTCGAAGTTGTAAGTGGCGGCAACCATCAGTGCAAGTCAGTTTTTCGGGCAGTAGGCTTGTGACAATATTGCTCCGGTTACTCATGTCAGGCGGTAGAGGGTTAAATCAACCTACATGTTCCACCTGAAAGCTGAAATAGGACTTCATAAACCTACAACTCTAACTTCAGTGCACCATCCCCTATGACAAACGATCGTGTTAGGATGCTGGTGTATCGTGTCTTGGATCTCTCAAGAGCGAGCGCAAGGTGGCTATTAAACTTTATCTGTCGGGAATGTAACAACGTTGAACGCTTTAATTAACAGCCACCAGCTACATATCCAAATTTCAGGAGGTTGCTAGAGTACCGCGATGATGAGGGAAGCGTGACTTTTAGTGTAGAGTGAAGCGAGTTCACAAACTTGTCTCACTCACTGAGCCACAAAGTTCATGAGTGGCCGAAGTTGCACCAACCTGGCAAGTTGCGTCAGTCCAAATCTAATCTAAATAATCTCTCTCTAAAAGACCACAGTCGCTGCGCTTGTTAAAAGAAACACGTGCTTCTGAAGATGTTCTTGATTAACAACGACTAATTGAATGAAAAAAATACGTTAAAAATAAGCTATCGCCATAGCAGGGCGCGTCGTGTGAATGTGCTCAATGAAAATAATTAGTATAGGTTGGCATAATTTGTTCCTTTAAGTAGGTTTCATTGAAGACCGAAGAATTGGTGTTATTGACAATTTTCTTATTTAGTTTTTGCAATATATCGGACAACAAATTGTTAGAAGCAAAGTCCATAGCAACCAAATATTCCTTCAGGATAATCTATATTATACACACTATACACATTTCATTTGAAAATTAGCCGATCGCAGCGACAGAATTTAATAGAAAATTATATACTGTAACACCTAGGAAAAGGATCGCGGCATATTTAAGATGAGCAACATCAGGGAGAATAATTTTGATATCCTAATTGTAATAATTTTTGATATCCTAATAATTGTCAAAAAACCATCGCACTCGATGTTGTAACGCGCTGCTTCCACCCATAGCGATTAAGATCAAGTTTTCATCAATTAGGTAACATATATGCCTGTACAGCAATATTCTCTATATATAAAGTCTATGCATTTTATGCAATATAATGGATAGTTATTTGCCCCCATGTACCGGGGTGGTGGCTGGGGAGGTATAGCATAGGTAACATATATGCCTGTATAGCAATATTCTCTATAGATATAAAGTCTATTCTTCTCTATGCAATATAATGGGTAGCTGTGTGCCCCATGTACCGGGGTGGTGGCGGGGGAGGTACGGGGTGCCCCCCGTGGGGAGCTGCACGAGGAGGGACAGCACAGCGGCCTTGTGGTCCCCGCACACCTCGAGGGCGATGGGCGACGCCACCGCCGCCGCCGCTGCTGACGGCGACCACCAAGCCGCGGGACCAACCTCCTGAGGGGGGGACGTAGTCAAGTTAGAGAAAGATTTACGGGGAGGTTATTAGCTTACCCGTAGCCGGGCAGGTAAGAATCTCTTTTATTATTACAAATGATAATATATTTTAACCGTAGCCGGGCAGCTAAGAATCTCTTATTATAACAAATGATAATATATATTTATTATTTTACCCGTAGCCGGGCAGGTAAGCATGATGTCATCATGATTATTATAACAAATGATAACATAAATATTGATATTGGATGATGAAGGAATGATGATGCAGCAGACCTTGTTGACGGAGCAGGTGGAGTTGGGGGCGCCGCCGTTGGAGTGCTGCAGGATGGGGGAGGCATGCTCCCCCTCTCCCCCCAGCGGGGGATGCAGCTCCAGGAATATGGGCTTGAAGGGCCGGGCCGCCATCGCCTCCATCTCCACCATCAGCCGCTGCAACGCCGCCATATTTACTTCACTTATACATCTTATTTTACCTCATGTTCATTTGCGTAAGTCTTATTTCACGCAATATTACATTAGGGTTTCTTACTACCCTATAATATATTTTACTGCCCTATTGAATTATTTCAATTGAGGCTACGTCAAGATATTTGCGTTATTTACGTCAAGCTCATGTATGATATGATAATGAGCGTGCAGTTATTTTACGACACATTTTACGACAAGCCGTCATAATCATAACATTTTACTTCACAATAATGATGTTCTGGCGCTGCCGACAACAAAATTACACACCACGAGTTAAATTGCGTAATAATGTGAAATAAATATGTTACTGAGCTTATTTTGCGCTAAAGTTCAAAAAGTAAAGAACGTTGTCGCAAGTTTTGTACGTTTCAAGTTAAGTTTCAAGCCGTTGGCGGCTGACTCACCCGGCGGCGGGTGTAGATGTCATGACTCACCCGGCGGAGGGTGTAGATGTCATGACTCACCCGGCGGCGGGTGTAGATATCACCACTCACCCGGCGGCGGGTGTAGATATCACCACTCACCCGGCGGCGGGTGTAGATGTCATATTTCTGTTTGATCTTCCAGAGCACCGCGGCCACCACCAGCAGGCACAGGAAGCACCTGCACAGCAGCGGTGGTACAGCGGTTGCGTCTGACATGGTGGCAACCACAACCTGTGGTGGCAACCACAACCTGTGGTGGCAACCTGTGGTGGCAACCACGACCTGTGGTGGCAACCACAACCCTGATATTACCTCAGGTGCAGCTCAGCTACCACCACATGCACCACTCAGCTACCGCCACATGCATCCACATGCACCACTCAGCTACCACCACATGCACCACTCAGCTACCACCACATGCACCACTCAGCTACCACCAGTTGCACCACTCAGCTACCACCACATGGCCAATACTCCACGCTAGGAGCAGAATTCTCCACATGGGCCTATACCTTCAAAAAAAGTTAAGAGATCGTAAGTCCATCAGCCAATCATTGACGGCCTTTCAAGCAAAATCCACCAATCATAGACAAGAAAATAGAGCGTAAGTACTTACGTTCCCTTAGCGAATTTTGAAAGTATAGGCCCAGGAGCAGAATTCTACACATGAACAGCAATTCCTGTACGGAAAAAGTCCATTCCGAGTGATCGTGTATTCCTCAGCCAGAAGCCATTTTTCAGAAATGTTCTAACTCCTTCAGCCAATCACTACGGTTTTCTTCCAGCTGAACACGGTCTCTACAGTGTGCTAAGGCCGCTATGTGTACCTAGGCCGCTATGCGTACCTAGGCCGCTACTTCTACTTAGGCCGCTATGTGTACCTAGGCCGCTACGTGTACCTAGGCCGCTACGTGTACTTAGGCCTCTAAGTGCACATAAGCAAGTTGAGATACTAAGGCCCCCTTTTGTCCAGCTTTACTCACAGTAGAAAAATATAGAAGAACCCGAGCAGGTTGAGTTTGAGGTACTGGGAGAAGGACACGACGATCTCGACGGGCGGCGTGAAGTTGTAGACGTACACGTGGAACGTCGTGTTGTTGTGGAACGCAAACTCCGTATGGCTGAAGCGACGCTGGATGCGCGTACCCGTGAAGTTGCGTACCACCCACACCTCGTGCCCTCCACCTGGGGTACGTGGGGTACATTCGTGGGGGTACGGAATGGTTTAGAAATACCTTAGCCACTTTCTTTGGCAGTTACCCGGCCATGTTGACTCACATTTTGTGGCCGATATGATCACAGAGAAGATTTACTCATCATGATTAGCAATACTCCGTTATATTGACTCACTTTCGTTAACAGTACAACGCCACATTGAGGAGATAGTTACGCTCTTTATGAAGTAGCCTGCTGCATTACCTCACTTGTTTAGTCTTGACTCACTTTCTTAAGCATCGACTAACTTTATTAGCGTTGTCTCACTTTCTACACGTTGACTCACTTTCTACAGCATTGACTTACTTTGTAGAGCGTTGACTCACTTTGTAGAGCGTTGACTCAGTTTCTTTAGCATTGCCATGTTTCATTTCACTTTCTACAGCGTTGACTCACTTTCTACATCGTTGACTCACTTTCTACAGCATTGACTCACTTTCTACAGCGTTGACTCACTTTCTACAGCGTTGACTCACTTTGTAGAGCGTTGACTCAGTTTCTTTAGCATTGCCATGTTTCATTTCACTTTCTACAGCGTTGACTCACTTTCTACAGCGTTGACTCACTTTGTAGAGCATTGACTCACTTTGTAGAGCATTGACTCACTTTCTTTAGCATTGACACGTTTCATTTCGCAGGTATCCTATCGGAATGACTCACTTTCTTTGGCAGATATTTTGATGCGCGCAGGCTTCGAGGAGCTGATGTCGAAGTCTGTATCAACATTAGGTTTAGTTGGCACGTTGAAGAAGTTGATCTGGCGCACGTGTCGGTCCTCCGCCTTGGATAAGTTGAACGTGAACTGGTAGTCGATCTGGAGGTCGTCTGCAAACACACATACAATATTGGGTGATAATGTCTAAATAATGAAGCACTTCTTCATTTTCTCTTTCGAATAACGTATAAAGATTATTCTCAGGATTATGCAAATTTTGACTAATTTATAGAGCCTTCAAAAAAGTGACACCGCTGAGACTCGCCACCCCGACACTTGAGCGACCGGCTGACTGCCATGGAACACATCTCATGGTGCATCGTGACAGCACATTCATGATGTATGACACTTTTATTGTCTCATTTATGACATTATGACACATTTACTAAATTATTAGTTCAACTCTATGGAACATTCACGAAATTATTACACACGACGTCGTGGCCCAACAGCGTCATATTCATGACATTATGACACATGACACACGACGTTATGACACACGGTGCCGAGGCAGCGTGTGTCACTCACAGAAGCAGGATCCGTTCTTAGGGTCGCCGAAGTAGTTGTTCTGTTCGTCACATCTGTCACAGCGCTCGCCTGTCACGCCCTTGGTGCTGCAGTAACACCTCCCTGACGACCTGTCACACAGCGTGCCGTGTTCATTGCAGAAGCACGGCGTGCAGTGACCGCCGTTCACTGCAGAGCCATAGTAGCTTTGTTTGCAGTGCTCGCAGTGACGGCCTTCAGTGTTGTTAGCACAGGGCATCACACATTCTTGTTGCTGTGGTGCACGCTGTGGCTGCTGTGGTTGCTGTGGTGGTTGTTCAAGCACCAGACCAGGGTTGGACAGTTCGTGGTTGCCCACATCAGAGGCATGGAGCTGCGGTGTCACTGCAGTTTTCTTGCAGTAACTGTGGCCGTTGCAGTTGCAGGCTGTCACCAGAAGTGAGGTCTCATGTATTAATCAACTTACAATAATAGAGTTAATATTAAATAAAATTTAACTAATTGTTCAACTCCACGATGTCGCACCTAAAGACGATGCGGGAAGCGACAATAACGTACAACTACAAGACACTAATATTATTGTAACTAACATATACTAATATAAAATATTGGTGCATATACCGGCCAGTACACACGAAATACACCACATAAAAGTCAGTTTTTCTTATTGTCACGCAAGAATCACACAGGGACAGGCTAACATATACTAATATAAAATATTTATGCTAATATAGCATATAAAGGCCAGTACTCACAGAATATACCACATAAAGGTCAATTTTTATTAATGTCACGCGCGGATCAGCACTCACAGGGACAGGAGGTGAAGTACCAGCTGTGGGGGGCACAGGCAGCAGGGAGCAGGTGGCCGGTGAGGTGGTGACGGGGGGCAGTAACGCCCCCCGTCATGCATGTGCCGGTACCGGTGCCGCTACCATCATCACACCAGCCACACTCTACACCTGCCTGGCAGCTGCTGCACGACCGGTGCACCGTGCACGCGTCACCACCTGCACCAGGCACCGAATTAATTATTTATCAATTGTAATTATTTCTTCATAAATTTATGTAATTATTCATTTATAAATTTATGTAATTATTTATTTATCAATTTATCGATAAATTTATTGTAAATTCGACTCGATGCAAAGCACTAACCATAGAACAGACGGCATTGTAAAAACAAAACGTCACAATATAGCATTGAAGTATAGGTGGCCGAGTGGTTAAGATCTCATGTTTGAGGATGTGAATTGGAGGTTCAAAACCCACAATAAGTTGTGAAAATTCTGATCAAAGTCGGCAAGGTTGAGCGGTAGAGAATCTACCGGGCACTATATATTATATATTATTTTAAATTTCTCACGGTAAATAATAAATTTATAGTAAATGCGACAGGATTTAAAACACGCACTGAACGAAAAATGTTTTAGGAAAATCGTGGCCTGAGGGAAGGTGCGGGTGGTGGAAACCGACTGTATGATGGATATATAAAGACTTCAAACAATAGATAACTGAACTATATAATGAAAAGGGCTGGATTATCAAGCCTGTCATTGCTACTGAAGCATCACCGCTGCATTGAGACCTTCCTGGTATGCTAGTACCTATATGTGGTATGCTAGTTTATGTGGTATGCTGGTATATGTGGTGTGCTAGTATAAGCGTGGTCACTTCATACAAAAGCTTCGACAAGATGACTACGGAGCGCTGCTTGTCAGGTTGCAGTGGTCGGGTGTGGTGGTGGTACTCACCCCTGGTGTGGTTGGTGCAGTGGTCGGGTGTGGTGGTGGTACTCACCCCTGGTGTGGTTGGTGCAGTGGTCGGGTGTGGTGGTACTCACCCCTGGTGTGGTTGGTGCAGTGGTCGGGTGTGGTGGTGGTACTCACCCCTGGTGTGGTTGGTGCAGTGGTCGGGTGTGGTGCTCCAGGACCTGCACGCCCCGTAAGCAAAGGTCACGAGGTACGAGTTGTTGTCGACGCAGCGCTGGGCGTTGTGGCACCACATGCACTGGCCCTGAGCAGACCAAAGCAATAATGTCACTCAATACCAATATTTATAATAATATTATTATTAGTAATAATAAGGTCATCTGAACCAGGCAATGGTCCATACGTCAATATCAATCATCAGTTCACTCATCAAAAAAATAATCAAACAATATCAACTCGCTTAAAAATAATCCAATTGAACAGAAATGATTAACTGAAATGGGCAGAAATGATCAAACAGGTTTTCATGATGATGACAGAAAATAATACCAGGAGTGGCAATACTCCAGATATATGATGGCACGCACCCTGGTGCAGTTCTCGCAGGTGGTACTCAGGTGGCACGGTGCCAGATGACACGGCCTAAACTTGCCGGGGGTGACAGCGTTGCCAGACTCTGTCGACGACGGCACCTCGACAGACGTGGGAACAGGCGAGGCAGGTTCACTCCCCTCTGGGGAAGAACCATCTTGGTTCCTGCCATCTGAAGGCAGACCGTCTAGATTTTTTCTGTCCATTAAGGGTGTGTAGCCATCTTGGTTGGTACCGTCTGAGAAAGATGGGTCCTGATGCCGGCCGTCAGCTGGGTCGTCAGCTGACATGGTTGTGTTGTTGTACACACATTGGTTGTTCTGCAACCACACACACGAGGGCGTGGTGGTGCCGTGGTGCTGGTGGCATAGCTGGCACGATATCAGCACCCGACACCGGGCGGGGAGGTCCGCCCCCTCCGGACACTGCCCTGGCGACGTCACAGGCTGCCCATGCAACACCAGATCACTAACAATAGATAAAAGGATAATTAAGTTCACTTAGGTTAGGGAAAAGAATATCTTATGAGCGGACGTCGGCTCAACAGCCACCCAACGCACCGAAATCAAGATAGAAAACGTCGTCATTAATTGTATACTATATAAATAATTATTATTGATTATAACAATATTCATATAATAATTCCGCCAGCGAACCACCTTGGCACACACTAGCCACGCCAGTGACCCACCTTGGCGCCACACAGGCGACCCACAGGTGACCCACAGCTGACCCACCTTGGCGCCACACAGGCGACCCACCTTGGCGACAGGGCTGTCGCAGGCGTCCCTGCACCCCGCACCGCCGCACCAGACGCAGGCGACGCTGGAGTGCAGGCAGGTCACGCAGTTGGGCAGGGCGCGGCAGTGGGCATCCGCGTGCCTGGGGAGGGCGTGGTGGCGCGCCCACGCGGGTAGTGCCGCGGCAGACGCCGTCGAGGCAGGAGGGCGCGTGTCGCCGCTCCTGGCGGTGCCGTTGTGGTGGGGGCAGAGGATGTAGGAGGAGGGGTCCTTGCTAGGGTTGTAGAGCTCGCACTGGGATAGCACCCTACGAGGATGAGGTGGTGAGAGACACAAATTAACACTAATAACACGATTTGTAATTTGAAACTGGCATAAAAGAGTATATAATTAACGCTAAAATGAACTACAATATGAAAACGTTAATGATAAGTGAACGTGAATGGCAGAACTGTGGTGACACGCATACTTATCCATACACCTCACGTGTTCCAGACACACGTAGACAAGACTCACGTGTTCCAGACACACGTAGGGCAAGACACACGTGTTCCAGACACACGTAGACAAGACTCACGTGTTCCAGACACACGTAGGACAAGACTCACGTGTTCCAGACACACTTGACAGCAGGGTAGGCAGTAAGGCAGGCACGTGGAGTGACGTGCAGCACGCAGCGGCCCGCGTGCAGCAGCAGCACCGACCCAAGCAGGCGCCCGTTGAACCCCGTCAGCACGGCACCAACGGGGGCGCCCACAGCTCCTTAGGTGTTAATTACACATAAAACTTGTATCAAAAATAATTATTCTAACATTTTAATAATTATTCAACATTAAACTAGCATCTAAAAAAGTTTTTATACCATTCTAAGAATTATTATAAAAATGCCCCTACAGAGGCTGCTGTAGCGCCGTAAGTACAGAAATGTAATTTTCACACATATTTATTAATAAATTTATCGTTTACATTAATCTGCAAAATCAGCAAAATATAATTTTCAGTTAAAAATGACCAAGAGAATGTTTTGGAACTGACCTATATTTAAATGGGGGCAAACAATTTGACATGCAATACTCATCTTCATCTATGATTTCAGCATTAAATGTATAGATGATACACGAAATATGGTCAAGTTACCGTGGGAGGAGCTGTGCTGGTTAGTGCCGTGCTGGCCGTCATGAGGGACGGACGTGCGCGGGGCGTCCCTCAGCACGACCATCACGTGACCGTAGCGCGAAGTATCCACACCCAAGTCTGTACGTAGCAATACCATTACAAATTCTTCTTCTAATATCTTGATATGTAAGTTAAGAAGATGCCTTGACGATATTTTATATTTCAGCATTCTACCAGTTGATCTTTTATTTATCTTCTACACATCTTCTTCGCGTATGAAATTTTGGCGGCCACATGCGCGGCCAAACTTAAATTTGCTATCGTTACCTTAATTTGTTATCAATACCCTAATTCTATTATAGTTACCCTTCATTTGTTATCGTTACCCTAATTTGGTTAATGTTACCCTAAATATGTTGTCGTTACCATGCGTTAGCTGCTAACAATTGTGCAGGCGTTCGTCACCTCACAGATATGTATAACCCGTAACGACCTAGCCAGCCATCATCATCTTTCACTTTCCCTACACATTTATGATTATTATATTATATTTCTTATGTATATATATTATATATTATTATTTATACTTACGTGTCTATTATCTTGTGTGGCACACAACCCTCACCGTGTGGCTGCAGCAC